TCTTTACAGCACAGCAAGTATGTATTAGTCTCAAGAGGTTTTTGGACAAGTCAGAATACACAATACACATGTCGCAGACACAGTAGTTGACTCAACCTAACACAGGCGCAGTAGATGCAGATACAAATCTGTGAATCCGTAGATTCCATTGGAGTATCACATATTGAACTCAGCGCATGCGCAAGCTGGGATAACGTTCTCCGCTTGTATTCCCACAAAGTTTTTTTCTTTTCTCCGTCACCTACCTGCCTGTTAGCGTTCGTTTGTAAAGTTTCATGCCTTTTCGTAGCGTAGTGTATACGCCCATCGGCACCGGCTCTTTCCTGTGTCTTTTGCCGATAAGTGAGCTAGGTGCTACCAATTTTTATGAGCTTCAATATTGGGGACACTATTGAGGCTTCTCCCGCACCCCCACCCCCGGTTAAGAACCACTGTTTTAGAGGATCATATTTGTTAATTTTCAGATTAGGAAATACAAGAGAATTTTTTCTCTTCTGCTGTTTCTTTTCACTAAGGTAAATTAACGAAGCTGAGATTCCGTAGCTAAAGTAATTGTCAATTGATGCAATGCTTTTGTAACCACTGCATTATAATGAAAATAAGCCTTGGTAGCTAATACCTCCAAGGTACTCCTAAAATCAGTACACACACTTATCAGTTTTTTTGTTTTTTTTTCCAAGCTGAATATTTTGAATTGCATCATCTACCAAGATATTTTTAACATCAACATTTCTCTATGAATACACTTTACACAATTTGTTTCCCATTAGTCTTGCAAGTTTACTTTATTAATGCTACATTCTATTCCTCTGCTTTTCTCAAATAATTCTTTACAGCACAGCAAGTATGTATTAGTCTCAAGAGGTTTTTGGACAAGTCAGAATACACAATACACATGTCGCAGACACAGTAGTTGACTCAACCTAACACAGGCGCAGTAGATGCAGATACAAATCTGTGAATCCGTAGATTCCATTGGAGTATCACATATTGAACTCAGCGCATGCGCAAGCTGGGATAACGTTCTCCGCTTGTATTCGTTTCGTGGCTACAGGTTTCTCTAAGTTCACGCTTTATTCCCACAAAGTTTTTTTTTCTTTTTGCCGTCACCTACCTGCCTGTTAGCGTTCGTTTGTAAAGTTTCATGCCTTTTCGTAGCGTAGTGTATACGCCCATCGGCACCGGCTCTTTCCTGTGTCTTTTGCCGATAAGTGAGCTAGGTGCTACCAATTTTTATGAGCTTCAATATTGGGGACACTATTGAGGCTTCTCCCGCACCCCCACCCCCGGTTAAGAACCACTGTTTTAGAGGATCATATTTGTTAATTTTCAGATTAGGAAATACAAGAGAATTTTTTCTCTTCTGCTGTTTCTTTTCACTAAGGTAAATTAACGAAGCTGAGATTCCGTAGCTAAAGTAATTGTCAATTGATGCAATGCTTTTGTAACCACTGCATTATAATGAAAATAAGCCTTGGTAGCTAATACCTCCAAGGTACTCCTAAAATCAGTACACACACTTATCAGTTTTTTTGTTTTTTTTTCCAAGCTGAATATTTTGAATTGCATCATCTACCAAGATATTTTTAACATCAACATTTCTCTATGAATACACTTTACACAATTTGTTTCCCATTAGTCTTGCAAGTTTACTTTATTAATGCTACATTCTATTCCTCTGCTTTTCTCAAATAATTCTTTACAGCACAGCAAGTATGTATTAGTCTCAAGAGGTTTTTGGACAAGTCAGAATACACAATACAATACACATGTCGCAGACACAGTAGTTGACTCAACCTAACACAGGCGCAGTAGATGCAGATACAAATCTGTGAATCCGTAGATTCCATTGGAGTATCACATATTGAACTCAGCGCATGCGCAAGCTGGGATAACGTTCTCCGCTTGTATTCCCACAAAGTTTTTTTCTTTTCTCCGTCACCTACCTGCCTGTTAGCGTTCGTTTGTAAAGTTTCATGCCTTTTCGTAGCGTAGTGTATACGCCCATCGGCACCGGCTCTTTCCTGTGTCTTTTGCCGATAAGTGAGCTAGGTGCTACCAATTTTTATGAGCCTCAATATTGGGGACACTATTGAAGATTTCAAATATTTTATTATAAGAAATTTAATAAATGATATTTAATAATTTTTATGGTTAGGTAGAGGCTTCTCCCGCACCCCTACCCCCGGTTAAGAACCACTGTTTTAGAGGATCATATTTGTTAATTTTCAGATTAGGAAATACAAGAGAATTTTTTCTCTTCTGCTGTTTCTTTTCACTAAGGTAAATTAACGAAGCTGAGATTCCGTAGCTAAAGTAATTGTCAATTGATGCAATGGTTTTGTAACCACTGCATTATAATGAAAATAAGCCTTGGTAGCTAATACCTCCAAGGTACTCCTAAAATCAGTACACACACTTATCAGTTTTTTTGTTTTTTTTTCCAAGCTGAATATTTTGAATTGCATCATCTACCAAGATATTTTTAACATCAACATTTCTCTATGAATAGACTTTACACAATTTGTTTCCCATTAGTCTTGCAAGTTTACTTTATTAATGCTACATTCTATTCCTCTGCTTTTCTCAAATAATTCTTTACAGCACAGCAAGTTTTCTTGAATTTCTCCTTTATTTACAAATCTTACAAATGCTGGAACATAATATTTGTTATTAAATATGTTGACTCATCCATGTGAACTGAAAAATTACCATTTTTCAGTTTATCACACAAAATCTTCTCCATTATATGACATATCATTAAATCGCTGTGTTTGAAAGTGGAATATTTTTAATTTTCCTTACTGCATCTTCTCCCAATGTTTTATCCACTATAATTTTACATGCGGGCATTATCAGATACTTGTCAATTGTGAGACATTTTCTTTTCTGTGAAATAATCTCTGATACCGAATAACTTGCTTCCTAAACCTTTTCACTAACTGTGAATGTGTTTACAAAAGCTTTACTCCATTTAGTTTGACATTTTAGCAAGAGTTTTCTTATTACTATAATTTGTAGTGAAATTTCCATTCACTTTTGTTGGAATCATTGATGTATTTGAAAGTTTTTTTAACGACACACAATGGAAGAGAATATTCTGGATCACCAGTTTATATAAAGCTCACTGATAAATAACTTTCATTTGTAACGACAAACCTTTTTTGTACCTCTTTCTTTATCGGTGTTTTGAAATTTTGTATGAGATTCTAGATCTTCAATATTTGTCTCTTCAGAATTATTTAGATTGTTTATCTTCAAGTACCATTACATTTTAAACATTCCAGAAGAATTCAAAAATGAGAAACAAAACCACTAATATAGTAGTAAAATTAAAAAAAAAAACATGCATTAACACTCCATTGAACCAACCACATAATCCTATAAATCTTGTATCACTAATACATATACAATCATACTAGTTTCTAGTCTGTGACAACTGAAAGCTGCCTTTGGCTGTTTGGCTAAAATCACTTAAGACTTGTGTTACATGCATAGCCTTGTAATGTCAATGTATAGTTTAATGAAAACTGCTGAAGTAAAAGTTAATCCCCTTCCATTAAAAAAAGAATTGGAACTACTAGTTTTTAGTCTGTGACAACTGAAAGCTGCCTTTGGCTGTTTGGCTATACTCAGACTTTTGTTGCAAGCATAGTCTTCTTATGCCAATGTATAGTTTAACGAAAACTGCTGAAGCAAAAGTTAATCATCTTCCATTTAAAAAAAAAAATAATAATAATAATAATAATAATAATAAAAATACATGTAACTGTTGATGATGTCTGACGAGTCTAACCAACCACAGTCGAACAGCCAAAGGGAGTTTTTCCAATTATCACTGGCTAAACTCTTGCCACCCCCTTCCCACCGAAGTTATCTGAGTACAATAATGAATCAGGAAAAAAATATTTTCTCTTTCATGACATTTCCCTATTTCTTGTGGAACCCTGGTTAAGAAATACTAATCTAAAGTACAATGATTCCACAATGATCACCTTTGAGAGTGATGAGTACTTCTGAAAACAAATAAAGATAGTTTACAACAGTATAAATTATGCAGGATTCCTACTGAAATTCAAATTTTAATTTCTGTGACTTAATATAATGAACTAATAAGCATATGTAATTGAATAATATAATTTTTCTGCAAAATATAATGGAACAACTAAGAAAACTATAAAAATTTAGCTTATTATAGTGAAGTAAATGAAATCTGTATGCAGGCTATTAAATAATTAGAGATATTAAAAATAATCAAAACTTTAAAAAATAAAATTTTCTTCTCTGCAAGCAAAATGTATGTCAGTATGGTAGTCATGATAAGTATTAATGATTTGGTGTTTCAAAATAAAACTACAGAGTTGGATGGGAAACACTGAATAGAAAAAAAGGTGTTCAATTTAGTATAATGGGTACAAATACAGTGTAATGACTTCGTAATTGCACTACAATAACAACTTACTAACAGATGGAGAAAGAATTAAAGGTTAACAAAAGTGCATCAGATGGGAAGGAAGTAAAATAAGATAGGAACAAATATGGCTTTCTGTTTAAAAGGGATAATTTTTGTTTATAGTTATGATGTTTAAAATATAAATTTTTTATTATTTGAGAGAAAATCTGACTTATCACTATTTTGTATCTGAAAAGAAATCCTGTCTGTTTTTTAAAGCAACTGCTTCCACAGAAAAATCAATCATTTGGAATTGTTGGTAATTGTCTTAAGGAGGTTTTATTGCATTTGTTAAGTGGTCTTAAATTGTAAGTTTTTTCACTTAATATAAAACTTCATTTTATATCATTAACTTTCCTCTACAAGTTAAAGATTTCATCAAGAACATATAAAACTTCTTTAAAATATTGTACTTAAAAAATAGTTATGGATTCATTTAAGCTTTAATACCCGAGTGCTAACATTCTTTAATTTGAACGTAATAATTATAAAAGTGATATTTAAATTGATGAAATCAGTATCATTTTGTAGATATATAAAGAATATTTCATATTTCAAAAACTGTCTTTATTTTTCATAATTCAAAATAATGTCACTTCAAGAAAACCATATTTATAATAAGATTCATAAAACCAAAGTTTATGCAACACTGTACATATTTACAATTTTAACAAAAATATATTACAAGACTTGATTTAAGCTCAAAAACTAGATTCAGATAGTAAATATAGAAACACATTCAAAGTAATTTTGAAGATATTTTACAACTTTTTAAAATTTTGATCATAACTTGATGAAATAGCATAAATTTCCATTTTATCACAAAATTCAAAACAATATTTTAAACATCATGTATTCAATAAGAAACTAATATTATCTTCTAAAATATTATTCTTCTGTATGTTATATCTAAGTTCTGAAAGTTTCCTTGTAATGCTTGATAGTGTAGGGACTTCAGAAGAATGCTGTGATTTATTTATCCATTCATCATAACCTATTAAGAAAGGATATTTTAAAAATTAGAATATGGAATTTAAGTAGTTTCATAAGTTAACTTTTTAACTATTTTTTCTTTCACACATATTATTTTGCCAACTAAAATGGAATAAATACTATTTACTTACACTTGGACATAACGCAACCAACTTATTTCAGGAAATAAATTTTTATTTTTTCCAATCCAAAAAGACATAAAACATACTAATAAGGATGGGAGAAAAAATTATTTATATTAGTTAAAAGAAAATGGCATTATTCAAGCATAAAAGGATTAATGATGATTTTTACATTAATGACCATTATATTGGCGAGATATTAAGACACCAACTCAGTAATTCTATTAAAATATTAACTATAGTTTAAATTTTACATTTCAAACTACCACTTCTGCATATAAAACTGTTATTCATTTAATCTTTCAGCATGAGATGCACATTACATTTTAAGCAGAAAAGCACGCACAAAAATAGCGAGTACAAACAAACAAAAATATTAGCCAAATAAAGAAAAATGATTTCTTTGACCTAATCAGCCAAGCACACTCCATAACATTTTATTAAATTATACTTAGGTGCAGAAGTTTAAATTATACAGCTCAACAGCCATATCTGATTAGACATGTCTAAACTGTGATAAACTAAACAAAAACTAGTGATGGTTGTGATTGCTCAAGTTCATTTCATGCATGTTCAAATAGATTCAAATGAAAAACAGCTGGTCACCAGCCCTGGATCACAATTAACAGCTGGAAGAAATGTCTAACACCCTCTTCCAGCCATTGACTAAGCCATTTTTGTGTAAAGCCCTGTCATTCATGGAAAGAAATCTGTGCCTTGTTTCACCCCTGAAAAGTGGATATATGGCTGAACTGTTTTATAGTGCACCTAGGTTTGACTATTTCTTCAAAGGTATGAAACCTTAACCTATTGACTGCCACAGATGAGTATTCTTGCCTTAAGCATTTCCATGCCATGGACAAGTAAACTCATCAGTACATTAGAACATGTTCCCTCTCCAATACATGACTTTTCCTATACTGCAAATGTCTAAAAGGCAATTGCCTTTTCCCATACAGACAAATTGCATAATGTTTTTCATATATTCCATACAGACAATGTAGTAATCAACAGGCAAAACTCTGCTCATAGCACCTTTAAGGCATGTGGGTAACTTACAAGGATGCCATGATCTACTTCATTAATTTACTGAAATCAAACTTAGACCAAGTGGAACTAAACATTGATGTGTTGATACTATCAGGTAAATACGAAAGTTAGTGTGGTTTTTGAGAAAAGTTACATTTGGCACATTAGTATGACCAAATAATTCTGATAACATCATATGTTTACATTCCTTTCAAACCTTACTCAGTGGAAAGCTGTTCAGTGCATCACATGTTTTGCTATCGGTTTTGTAGGAAGCACAGTCTTTGAAAGAATATGGTATTGTTAAAGGAGATTCTGAGGCCCATTTTGCTTCAAAAGTACAAACTAGGAAACAAAGCTAAAGAGGCTGCTACAAGAATATGCTCTGCATTCGAAGAGATGTCAGTGAATGAACGGACTACTCAAAAATGGTTTGGCTGATTTTTTTTTTTCCAGCAGAGACGAGAGCCTTGAAGGACGAGCTTTATGTTGGGTCCATCTACCCTCAACAAAGTCCAGCTGGAGGAGGAAATAAAGTAGAACCCTCATCAACCTGCTAGGAGCTTGCAAACAGGTTTGGAGTATCTGACAAAACCATTTGATCACATCTTCATGACCTTGGGATGACATGCAAACTGAGTAAGTTGTTCCTCATGTTCTGTCTCAAGAAAACAAGCTCCAACAGTTAAACATCTGCTTGTTGCTGCCAAGCCATAATAAAGCCTCATTCCAGGAACTAATCTTCACATACATATGATGAGAAATGGATAATGTATGGGGATCGGAACAGGAACCATCATTGATTGACTTCTGGTTCGGTTTCATTGGCAGCTAAATTGGACTTTCAAAAAAAGAAAGCAATGCTTCGTGTTTAATGGACCAATGCTGGCATTGTTTACTATGAATATCTAGAAGGCAAAAAAAAAACATAACAGCTGAGATCTACTCATCGCAATTGCAAAGAGTTTCAGCTGCACTACACCAGAAACAGCGAGCACTGGTCAAGAAAAGAGGAGGTTTCCTCCTCTGTGACAATGCCAAACCTCATACAGCAAAAGTGACCAAAGAGGTAATCAAATACTGGGCTGGGAAGTTCTACCTCAGCCAACCTACTTCCTGGATATGATTGAATCGGACTACTAGCTGATTTTGGCCATGAATAGCCACCTAATGGAACAGCAGTTCTAAAATGCAACGATATCACAAAGCCTGTGGTCACAATTTTTGAACTCCAGAAAAAGGATTGTTTTTTAAAAGGTCATTTATAAGCTTGTGTTTCATTGGGAACATATAATTGAAGCCAATGGTGATTGTTTTGAAGAATGAAATGGGTGTCTGAAGAATAAAATGATTTTTGTGGGTTTTGATGACACAATAAAATCACATGAACTTTCTTGGTTACCTGCTATAATAAGGATTTATGATGATAATATATGAATCATTGTTTTCAAAAAAACACTCGTCAATTTATTAACTAGTTTAAAAAAAATCCAAGGTAATGTTAATAGGTTTCATGACCAAATGAGAGCTAAAGCCATTTACTTGTGTAAAAAAGTAATTTTATTGAGGAAACACTAAAAAAAGAAAATGTAGTAGGATGGAATTATCTCAGTTTAACGGAACATAATTTATTATACTTTTCCCATCCAAGAGAAGTAAATAAGAATTTTACATTTCTAGCAGAAGCAGTTGGTACAATTAATGGATTTAAAATTTTAGATTTCCTTCCCCCCTCTTCCAGTTTATATGTATGTGTATACACACACAGAACAGAGCGTATGCACTGGCCCTAAAGAATGCCTATTACTATGTCACAAATTAATTTAATAAAAAGATAAATTGCATCAACTGCTTTATCTACTTATATTTTTAGAATTCTTAACTTACCTGTACTTTTTGAGTTTAGGAATGACTGCTTGGGTTGTTTAGAAAAAAGTTTATCACAAGTCGCTTCTTTCTCTTGAATATCTGTGTGTATCTGGGTGCTTGAGAGGAAATCTGCATGTTTATCTGAAATTTAACAAGTATTTTTAAAGCATAAATACTTTGAATTAATTATATAGCATTAAAAACTATAAATTTTGGGGACTAATGATATAGCCTGCAATAATCTGTAGATTGCAAAAGTGCACAGCATATATTAGAAACATGGAAGCATCATCTAGCACAGAACTTTTAATGCATAAAAACATTATACAGATGCATTAAATATTTAACATCAAATCATTTGACCGACTCAAAGAAATAATTATTTCCTGGAGTTTGTTGAATAAACACATGCCCAAAAAATCATGTTTTAACCCATTTAATGTAACTTAAATATAGCACTTACTAAAATGTTATACTTGAATTCAACTTTCATTCTGGGCAAGGTTGAGTTCTTTCAAACTGTATTCTTCAGCAAGGAACACAGTTTGGTTGTCTTAAGAATTCAGTAAGTTTACATTCAGATGGGTGTCTTACGAATTCAGTAACTTTGCATTCCCCCCCCCCCAATTTCTCTTTCAAATAGGTTTTCAGGTTTTAGCTGTTTAAAATTCACATTAAATTTCATTTCTTATAGAAATATCTATGAAAAGTGTTTCATTTTCCCAATTTTTGAGTGTTGTTTAAACAACAACTTGATTTAAAATATATTTGTTTTTGTGTTTGAATATCGGATTTAACCAGGAGAACAAAACATGTTTTCGAAACATATTAAGTGACTTTTATGAAACTTTAATTCATTTTATCCTGATGAGTCCTGAATGCAGTTTCGGTAAACGGAGATTAATTTTTATAATTTCATATATTTTTCTTTTTTGTATTTGTTCTACTAATGAATTCTTATTTTAAATTTTATATGTTGAGATGTTGTGTTAAACCTCTTATACACGGTTGCAATTAATATGGTTGAGGAATTGCCTTGCTTTGATTCCAGTTTCATTTTACCTTTAGATGCTTTAAGTTTATATATATAATATTTATATAAATATTATATATATAAACTTAAAGCAGCTGGCCTTATATGGCTATATATATAAATAATATATATATAGCCATATAGGGCCAGCAGGCATAAACATACTTGCCAACCTATGACACTCAAAAATCAGGAGATTTTTTTAAGAAATCGGGAGATTTTTCACAATGTTAAAAAGACTTTTTAAATGAGGAAAATATAGTTTTTAGTAATGAATTAACTTTAAATAGTAACTAATTCTTAAATGCAAGCAACACAAAAATACCTTACACATAAAAAACATTTTTATTACTTGCATCGTTTAAGAAAACAAAACAAAAACAAAAACAAAAAAAAAAAAAAAAAAAAAAAACTTTAATCAGTTTTTGTACAAATGGTATAAACAGTGGCAGATTTTGCTTTCTTTAAGAAAGAAACTTCATAATTTTGTTCATAGCAATTGCCACGTAGGCCTGCTTTCACTAATAAAAGTTTTCTAATGTGTCATCACTAATATTAGATCTAAATTTAGTCTTCGTTTTTGCAACAACACTGAAAATCCTCTTACAGTCTGCATTACTATGGGGAACTGTCAAGATGGCCAACATAATTCTAGACACTACATTTTAAAATTCCATCAGCATCTTTCAGTTTTCCAATTAAACTCCACTGGGTGTCAATCCTAGCTGATTTTATAACTTCATCCAAGTTTTCTAATTGTAAACTGCTGTTGTGCAGCTGTTGGACCTGTTTCAATTTTTCCTCCTTCTTAGAACTCCTTTCAAGATAATAATAAATATCAACAATGTGTTCATCCACATTTATTGGTAAAGAAGCTACTCCTTTTTCAGCTGCTAAATTTAAGAGGTGACAGGTGCACCTCATAATCTGCAAATCTGAATTTTCCTTTCTGAAGATGCCTGCAACACCAATCTTCAAGCCTACCAATACTGGTGCATTATCGGCACCAAGTGCTAAGCAATTATCCAGAGGGACTGCATTTTCTTTTAAAGTTTTAATAATTAGCTGTGCTATATTAAAGCCTGTCAAATGTCCTTCTAAAGTGGGGACAGAAAGTAAACTGCACTCAATTTCTGAAGACTCTGGATTAAAAAAAGAAACAACAATTGGATACAGTTTTGAATCGGTGTTATTGCTTCCATCCGTAGAGAGGCAGGACGGAGCTGTTTTAATGCAATCAATAACTGAAGATTTATTTTTCAAATCCATTTCTTCAACAATTGCACCTCTTTTGGTTCTTGCACTTAAGTATTTCTTAGCGATTTCACTATCGGGAAACATTTTTCTAAATAAAGCTGCAGCGTGATCCGATGCATTCAGTGGCAGGTTGTGCTCCAGTAAAAAGGCACAGAACAGTCATTCTGCATTAATAACTTTTTGGTCCTTTGTTTCTGAAGAAAAATTAAATTTTTCCGCTTTTTTTTTTTTTTTTTTCCCCCAAAAACAACTCATGTTGCCCTTGTGTTTTTGTGTACGCACATGTTTGAGAACATCCGCCCTTCCACCATGCGAAATCGAAAAATCACAACGACAGGCGGTTCAGTTTTCTGCAAATACACTGCATCTTAATTTCATGTCCACCCCCCCCCAATATAATGTGCTGTGTATGAGGAACATATACAAAAACTAGCCAGAAAATTGGGTACATTTTAGTTACAGAGCACCAAAGGTAAATTTAGCTACAAAATCTGAGATAGGAAGGGCAGACCTGATATATATCACTTCATGATAAGAATGGTTATTAAATGCAAAAATAAATAAATAAATAATAAAAACAAGCATATAATTATTCCAAGTGATAGCCATATAGAAATTCATTTGCAGATGCTGTCGACAAATTTCTATGAACATGAGCTCCACACCCAAAGTAAATTTATCATCTAGCTGTCAATAAAAGGAATGCCAGGGCCTTTGAATTCTTTCTTTCTTTCTTTTTTTTTTTTTTTTTTTTTTGTTTTTGGTGGCATGATTTTTAGTTGCAGCATCATTTCAGTGCTTTGGTAATACTAAAATAATTTCAGTGTGTGGTTTTTTTAAGCAATCTTTCAGTGTGCATGATACCACTGTTTTGAAAGAATTTAATCAATGTGTTTTGTGGTATTTAGCAATTGCAAACCATGTAATTCATATTAATTGCCCCCCCCCAAAAAAAGGGGGAAGAGAGAGAGAAAATTATTGTATCAATCTTCATTCTTTCAGCTTGTTTCCAATTATGCCATTACATGTCTACTCTGATGCAAAATAAACAGTTTAGCACATTTGTCATAAAATTATGGTTGGTGTGCTGTTAACTGAAAAAGACCAAAAAGTGTAGTTGCCTCTCTGCAAAATATACTTATAAACATACTTTCCTAGCATATGTAAAAAAATATCAAAATCAATTGAAAGATGAGTCAGATTTTATGCACACATGTTCAAATACGAATCAAATATTATTCCTGCGGCGAGAAAACAATATCATCTTTACCATATGAAACACTTATAATTAATAAACACAGCCTTAATCATTAATAAATATAAAAGATGCCTAAAAGTAATGCAGGATTTAAATTTACAAAATGAACTTTTATTTATACATTACTTCACAAAATTGTAACACTCTGAAAAAGTACACACTTCGATTAAATATGAAAAATAATATCTGGCAAATGTCCATCTCTCATATGATACTCACGCAATCTTGCAGCAAAATTTGCAATAACATTTTCACAGACTTGCGGTCGACTGTTGTGATACCATGTCAGATTTCTTCTTTGAGTTCAGAAATGGTTGGTATGTATTTGCTGTAAACCTTGAGCTTTTACAAATTCCCAGAAATAAAAGTTATAAGGTGTTAAGATTACATAATTTTGGTGGCCAAGAGATCATTATTGCACGAAATCAGCTGTCTATGAAATTTCTAAGCTAAAAACTTAATGGTTTTTGTGTGTCGCAGGGTGTTCAATGGCTTTTTGAGGCCTCAAATATGCTGTTATAATCTCACGATAATGTATAAAATTGACAGTTATTGTGCTTCTGCATTTATTTTCAAAAGAAGTATTGCCCAATAATTTCACCACACCAAAATGAACATTACACAGACATTTGTTGAGAGTAAATCCTTTTTCCTTAAATAACATGAAGATTTTCCAAAATATCTGCTTTTTACATATTCAACCACATGAAAATGCACCCCATCGCTGATGGATGCTTGCTGCTTCACATGGTAATTTGGCTTAAGCTAATGAGTCATCTCAATCTTGTGCCATTGCATCTCCAGATCATTTGCCATAGATCGCTGCATTTTACTCCTTGAAATGTCTAAGTCAAAGAGACCTACAATGAATTGACATCCTCAAAAGCTCAGCGACATTAGCACTCACAACAGGATCAAACACACAATACAAGGGCAGGCATTTCTTTTGTCGTCCATCACAGAGACTGTTTGTTCAAACTTGTGAACTACTCTTTTTACAGGCGTTCTCTTTACCATGTTTTTCTGAATTAATTTTGCATATATTCTGAGCACAGTACCCTCTATATTTGCAATATTTTTCATGATAATTATGTGCTCTTGCATCATGCATTTATAAATCATTAATTTACGGCTTACCAGAATAAGATTATTATAATTTATGCTTCAGAGAGTACTGTCAACCTAAAAATTGCACTCATTTTTAATCCAGCATTAATTTTGACACACCTTTTATCTTACTTTTCATATGCGTGTTGTAATTATACCTTTTAAAAATTATTTTTAATAATTTTAGTTAATTTTTGGGAAAAAAACTGCAAACTCAGCTTGGAAAATTTGTATAATGAACTATAAACAGCTTGTACACATGAAAATATTTTTTTACCTCATACTAAGCAAACACACTAAAATTAATATTTAGATTCAGCAAAATCCACATTATGTGAAAAGCGTCATCGAAATCAAAGTTAATAATCATCATCTGTGTAAGTATCTGTGTATCTCCTAATGTAAAATAATCTTACCATCAAAAATATTCTTGCATTCAAAAGATTCATCCAGATTATGAAGGAATGAATTGCATTCTTCCTCTTCTTTCATTATAGCTTGCCGAAGGGCAGCTAAAGAAGTATTCATGTCACAGGCTGAGATATCTATAATGAAAATGCAAAACAAAATTACAAATGATTTTAATGCTAAGAAAATTGCACTTGCACTAACATCTAAAATATCTTTTATTTAAACACAAAAATTAGGTCAGTTTCTTTCATTAATATGCAAATCCAATCAATTCAACAAATTGTGTATTAATATTTTTAACCTTTAAACAAAATTTTTATAAAATCTCTGGGCAAATAGCTTCGATTATTTATACACAATGCTCTGAAATAAAAATGCATTTTAAATTAAAACACATATATATGTCAAAATCAATTTTCAAAATATAAGAATTACAGTACAGTACAACATGAATGGCAGTGATCAATTAACATTCATTAAAAGACAGAAAATTTTAAATCTCACATTCCTATTTAATACTCTTGTGTCCACAACAACAATAAAAACAAAGATGACCAGCAATTTTATACAATGATATATTTGATACTTTGATACCGTATACACTCTTATAACGTCCACAATCCAACTTTACTGATAAAATTTATGTTAAAAAACCCATGCTGCGTTTAGGTGCACTAAAAATAAAATATTTCCTACGATGGTCATTGTACATAGTTTGGATGGCCTTGTCATTGTGCATAGACTGGTGCTATTCCCACACAAAAGACCACTCAGTTGCTTTTTGCGAACATTTTTTGTTAATTCTTCCCTTGAAGGACCTACATGCCTATTCACCCCAAACGAGATCTCAGAACAATAACATTCTTTCCCTTTCAAATCAGTAGTCTCATCAGTTTGAATAGTCTCTCTTCTCTGCTATTCGATGAATCTTCCATGACCCATCCTCTCCCCACCCCCATCTTTTCCATTGTAAATCTACTGCAATTTTTTTCAAAGGCAGACACCACCTGCGTTGCAATAACAAATTCTGATGTATTTCCTCTTCAGCGCATGAATTCGATTTTTCTTGCCATTCTGCCAGATACAGATCCCATCAGTTTGGTTATAAGTACTTGTTGGATAATTTTTAAGTAAGGGAGCGGAAAAATTTTTGAAAATGGCACCTGAACAGCACAGAAGCTATACTGCTGGTTTTAAGCTTAATGTAATTTATTTTGAGTTATGGTTTCATTTCATGCATTTTTAACTGGTATGTCATATATCAGGACTTAGGTTGAGTTTTTGCATCTATACGGCCCACGACGATGTCACGCGCAATTTAATCTATTGCGGCGTTTCTGTGTAATCTGAATTTTTCCCCGCCATTTTTCTCGAGTGCGGCGTTTACGCTGACGCGGCCTTTCTTCCGGAAATTACGGTAGTTTGGCGACGTTTTGGTAAGGCGATAAAGGTTACTAGCTAGGACTTTAGCAGTGTACATGGATAAAGTCAAGAGTGTGTGCAATGCCATTTTTGTGCAATTCTGGGATGTTTTTTTAAGTGAAAATAGGTCGACGTGTACATGGATACCGTGTATGTGCAAATCTTAAAAACGTGGCAAGCAGTGGGCGATTCTGCACTTTCTCCCAATTTCGCACCTAATCTTCATCATGATTAAGCACTTTTGTTCCATAAAAGTTCTAGTATAAACGTAATTCGGCTAGCAGATTGTTGGAAAAAAATGTTGAGTAAAAAAAAAAGAAAACATGCCTTTACTTCGTGAAAACAAAATGGCGTCGAAAACAAAACTAGCAGGTTGCTGTAGCAGGGTTGGTCACCACATTTTATCCAAAAAATTGCCAAGTTACCATAATCCAAAGATTAACCAAAAGTAGTTGCATATGTTCGTGATATGCGTGTTCAAGGGTAGGCAGTAATACAGGAAATATGCCAAATAAGCGCGCTTGCTGCAATATGAGAAGAAGACATTCCTACATCGCAAAGGTGTGTGAAGGCTGGTTGCGGTGAATGATGAAACAAAATGGATTTTTGTTTCCCCAGCATATGACAATGTCAAAATGTGCCCAGTGACTATGAAGATAAGTAATTTATATTATATATGTAGATACGAGAACATGAGTTTGTAAATTTTAGGTAACTATTAGACAACTTTAAATTTGATACTTTTATTACATCAACATTATTACATCATTTATGCATCAACATTTCAAACATAATCATCAATCGAACTTCTTTTACTGATATGATAGCCTATGAGCCTCCTTAGAACTTTCATTCCACTATCTACGTGACCAGTTTCTCTATTGGCAAATTTAATACTGAAATTGCAATTGAGATATATATAGTGCAATCGTTGAAGTATGGGCCTTTTCGATTCATTCCCTATTATTTTACAATTATAATTTTTAATGCTAAAGAAATGTGAATATGATTAGTAAATTTCATGTGATTAATATATTTGATACATTCTTTATTTAACCCTCCCACTGCATACTTTTTTTACCAAAATAGGTTCAAAAATTGCATTTTTTTATTATATATTTCAAATTGACATAGAATTAAAATATACAAAAAATTTTTGTAAAAGAGTTTTTTTTTTTCAATATAGAATTAGATCATAGAAAAAGGTTGTCAGAATACTGAAATGAAGAATAATGATATAAAAGGGAATTCTGAAAATTATATGGTTAAATTATGATTTATTTTATAAATACGAAGGTCAAAAATATACTAATGAAAATATTTGCATAGTGTAATATTTTGCATATCAATTTTGCACCACTGTTGAACGTTTTCAATAGAAACTGAATTTTCAGATTCATATCACAACCTGCAGAGGAATCCAAGATATTCTTATCAGTTTCGCTATAACTATCTTCAATATACTTGAAATCAGAGTCAGAACTACTATCAGTGTCGGAAATATCATCAGGAATATAGGTTATATCACTCGCGAAACGCTTCCTGCCAGACATCTTTGAGCTCAGAAAAGCATGTGCAAAATGCTACATTACGTATTCTTGTATATTTGGCAGAAATGTGGACAACTAACACCATTTGTTAGCCCACATCTAAATAAAGAATTAAACATCATAGAAAAGATGAAAGGAAAACTGGAACGGGGAAAGAGCGGGTTGCACAATTAAATAGACGGCAAAAATTCATCCCTGCGGAAATCGCGGGTTGCGCAAATTTTTCTACTTCTACATCGGCTGTGGAAATCGCGGGATGCGCAGTGAGAGGGTTAATTCAAACAATTCATTGTTATCCAAATGTTGTCATAAAATGCTGATGTTCACAGAACCAAAGTATTTTTTTCTGAGACTTTCCTTTCAAAAACAGCTAGATGAGTTTCTTATACCTTAATAACACTAGAATTATGAAAAAAGGTCCTTTTGATCGCAAATAAAATTAAATTCTTTGTATTTTTAAAATTTTCTTTTTAAGTATTTAGATATTTTTTTTTTTACTTTTCCTAAATATATACCAAGATGAAACTATAATTTATTTGGTCTGCTTTGAATGATTATTTTTTTAAAGTATAATTGTATATACCTAGAATTATGGTTAGCAGTCATTTTGACTGCGTTTCTTCCCTGTTTAACAAAAAGCTAAGTTAGCTTAGTATGTCAACATCTTGATGCCATTTATTTGTGCTTGCTTTTGATTTTCACACCAGATGTTATCCAACAGCTGGTGGAGCCTAATTGAGGCTTATCCACTCCAAAGTGGGAATGTCCCAAATGAGTTTCAAGTATTTTGTCTTTGAATGTTTTGATAAATTCTTTGCTTTTGTTCTGCATCTCACAGAGGCTCTAATGTTTATGTACTGACCACTTTTTTTTATCTATAAGTTTTTCTTTATTATCTTCTTGTGCAGAGCCATTGCAAGGAAATACCTACCAGAAGAAATGGCAGAAGATTTACAAGAACTAACAATAACAATTGAAAATTTAACAATAACTTCTGAGGAAGAACATGGCATTCCTTCATTATCATTTCCACATTAATAGATTACAAAAATAAAATTCTAACAAAATGAAGTTGTAAAGGTCAGGCATTTAGCCTTGAATGAGAATTCAATCAAGGATGAGGAAGAGTGAAAGATAACAAAGGCATGGAATAAGCCATAGCCAAATAAGAAAGCAAAGATAAATTAAATGATTTGAAAATGAAGAAAAATCAAAAGATGAAGAAATTACAAATTATGTTAGCAAATTCACTTAAAAGACTTTCTCATCAAAATGTTTTATATGAAACAGGTTGGCCAATTACTCTTGTTAAAAGACAAGTAATTGATGAGAACACAAGTAGTGCATGAAGACTTTTTATTAATGAAAAAGTATGATGCACAGAATTATACAACAATGCACAGAAGCTGAAGCATATCAAAAGTCAGGAAATCTAAATTGGAGCTTGTGACTTGATCAGCTAGACACTTTTATTGCTCTATTATATGCTCATGGTATTCTCACTGCCAAAAAAGACTTTTGTTTTGAGTTTAAGATCCAAGTGCCAAAAGAAACAATGCCTGGGGACAGATAATTGTGAATAATGAAATATTTGTGCTTTGACTTGGAAGATATGCTTTCACTTCAAAGGTCTGGAACTCCTTTATTCAAAATTTTTTACTGTGTTACAACACCAGGTGAAAATATTACAATTGATGAACAACTGTTCATTAGAATGGCCAGATGCCTCTTTGTTCAATACATGGCTTAAAACTCTGATAAATTTGGTACAGAAATTTTGCTTTTAGCTCAGATCATGTGAAAACAAAATAAACAGATATCTATTTTTGGGTAAAGATAAAAGAAGATCAACTGAAAAAGTTGGAGAACATGTCATTTAACCCTTTCGCGATGGAACATTTTTGTTTAAGAGGCTCGTGCGGGACGGAAGGGAATCGAAGGCAGTCACTGTACAGGACGGAGGTTTTGCATCGCTAAGCCTAATTTTATTTAAAAAAAAAAAAAAAATTCACATCTAACATTGTAATTTTTGGTATAATTTTAGATAATTACTTGAGCTCTTGAATATATTAAATTTAGCCCTTAATAACTTTTTTTCTTTATTTTACATGAAAATATACTTAAAAATTGCTTATCTTGTAAAATAATTTTTGGAAGTGCTA